TAATTACTGCCAATATTATGGCCCTTGATTACTTTGCAAAATCTTGTGACGCTCTAAAGGCTAAAGTTATCACCCGATTGACTTCAGATTGATACACAGAGTTTAAGATCTTGAGACGAACAAGTATATTGAATTTCAATGAATTTTTATGACTTGGAACAGCTAAATCCATGATATTAAAAGTTTTGTATACAAAACGTTAGCATGGGGCAGAACTTTATAAAAACCAAACAAATTCTAATGGTTTTCTGAGTTGTTGCTCTTAATCAGATTTTAGTGTATTATAAAGGTTTCATTACCGAAAAAAGTAAAAATATGTGACAACTCTTGTTGACTGCCCGGACGATTTAGCTGCTGTGGGCTTATGTTTCGTTGCCTGGCAACCTATCTTTGTAAATTGTGTAAATTTTCTTATAAATTATTCATAGCCTTTATTTATGGAAATTGTTTTAAACTTTTTAAATGATTAAATACACGTCACCAGGCAACAAGCCGTGTACATTTCCATTCCAGCTACCACTATATTTACTGTGGTGTCGTTAAGATAGAACTATTTTAGATGACCTGGGTGTGCATTTTAATTTATTTAGATATAATACTTCATAATGCTATAAACTAGTGTCAAGCAGATGAAAACAAGCGTAGATGGTGTGAAATTCATTGTTATAAAATTGTCTACTTCCAAACTGTGTGAGTAACTGTTGCCTACGACAGAGCGAAATGTAAACAGTGCAAATGGCGGATTTTCGCGGTATTTCCGTGCTTAATTCTTGCATTTAGAAAAGAATAATTAAATGTACGTGACGTGAGTGTTGTGGTCAATTTTACTTGTTACCTGTCAGACGAAAAAATCGCCTGTCGGCGACAAGTAGACAGGCGAACATTTCGAGCCATGCACAAGGGTTATACTTTGTCGTTGCGTCCGTCCAGACGACGATCTGACGTTCACAAGAGGCTCAAGTTAATACCCGATTGACTTTAAATTTATACACAGTGTTTAATGTCATGAGACGAAGAAGTCTATGGAGTTTCACAGATTTCCGATAATTACTGTGAGAGTTATGGCCCGTGAACGCTCTAGAGGCCAATGATTTTTAATAATTACTGCCAGAGTTATGGTCCTTGATTACTTTGAAAAATCTTGTGAATGCTCTAGACGCTAAAGTTAATATCTGATTGACTTTAAATTGATACTGTGTTTAAGGTCATGAGGCAAAGAAGCTTTTTGATGTTCAATGATTTCCAATAATTACTGCCAAATTTATGGCCCTTGATCACTTTGAAATTATATCTTGTGGACACTCTAGACGCTAAAGTTAATATTTGATTTACTTTAAATTTATACACAGTGTTTAAATATGAAATGTTTTGTTTGCTAAATGTTAGAATTGGGCAGAACTAAAAGCCAAATGTGTTGTTACGAATAATCAAATTTTAGTGTGTTGTAAATGTTTACATTTCTGACAAAAGAAAGAAATATGCGACAACCCTTGTTGACTCCCAGGACGACTTAGCTGCTGTGGGCGTATGTTTCCTTGCCTTGCAACCTATCTTTGTTTGTTTTATTATTTAGAGTTCTAACTTACTTTGCATGTTACTGTGGTTCTATTTTGTGCACACTTAATTGTATTATTGTAGTGCATGTTAATTAACTGCATGTCTTAGAATATTATAGTAAGCGGTGCATTACAATAGAAAATGGTCACTTTTAATATTTTGATTTTAAAAAGCCCTTACTATTACATCAATGATCATATATTGCTGTCGCCCCAGCCGTTTGTCCAAGTGGATGCTGTAAAAATCAGTTATGCATATTATCCAAGCAGAATTTCACATTTCTACTATTTGAAGACATTTTACTTTGGATAAACTTGCAGAAGAGCTAGTTAAATTTTCACTATTTGTAATAACCAAAGTTAGCCTATATGTTATGTTTGAGCAAAAAATCACTATTCAGTTACTTCTGATTATTATGTGCAGGAATGTGTAACAAAAAGAGGTTGACTAAGCTTGTTGATATTCAGCACTTCTAGTTTGGTCATCAAACTCAATATTTCGAGTGAACTTGGAAATTGTCTACAAAGTTTTTTTTTATGATCAATTTTAAAAACCTTTGGTTTCAGAATCTGCCAGGTGAACCTTGGTCACCCTTGAGCATTTTGAAAAATTCAAGATGGTGTCCCAAGACCGCTGCCATTTCAAATAATCCCCTATAACTTCCATTGTATTTATTCTAGGATGATAATTTTGGTGTCTAAATGTTTTTTGGGGGTCAAGGAGTACACTGAAAGCATTCATTATGTTGTGGGGTGATTAGATGATTGGTAGTAAAATTATTTTACCAAACCAAACTATATCTTGAGACACCACATACATGCCTATCAGGGGCTCCAGGACCACATGGGCCGGCCCTGAAAAGTGGGGCACAAACTGTTTTTTGAACATACGAAAAACCAAATTCTACCCACAAAACACGAAAATAACACCCAAAAAACTAGGCAATATTCAGTTTCATCCTTTGGTCGTGTTTCTGGCTGCAACCTACGACAGCACAAGCACACAATACTGTACATTCTAAGCGTACTGCATGGGGTGTCACTCTTGCATCCACATCTGATGAGTCACATGACAGATCCAGGAGCAAGTTGGCCGGTTGTAATGTTCTCAATTTAGTATCCTTCCCCCAGCAATACAGGCCCGGATCGAGTTCCGACGGATTACCAGATGTGGATGCAAGAGTGACACCCCAAGTAGTATTCTTGCTTGTATCTGCACTAGGGATGGCTTAGAATGTATAGTATTTATATGCATCATTTAAATTTGTGAAACAGGTCTATTGAATTTCAGCAATTTCCATCAATGATTTCTTGAGTTATGGCGATTGTGAACGTTTGAATGACAAAAGTCATCATGTGATCTGTATGAAATTTATATGCATTATTTAAATTAGCAAAACGAAAGAGCCTGTCAAATTTCAACAATTTCTGTAGATAACTTCCATAGTTGAGACCCTTGTTTCGGTTTGTAGAACCTTGTAAACCCTCAAACAACAAAATTTATAATCTGATCTGTATGGAACTCTCTTGTAAAGGCCCCCCAATTACCTACAAAGGAATAAATATGCGACAAGCCTTGACGACCGCTCGGACGATTTAGCTGCTGTGGGCGTATGTTTTGTTGCCTGGCAACCTATCTTTTAAATGTGCCCTCCTTTACAGGGCCGTCCCAATCACTAATATGCTCCTATGTCCAGAAATATATAGTTTTGTCTCTCGATATAGTTTGGTTTGGTGAAATAATCACCCTCAACCGCCGCTGATGAGTTACAGGGCCATATTGTCTAGTGAATGGTTAGCACGTGCACGCTGTATTATAAAGCCTGTCATATCATAAAGCCCGTCATGAGTCAACTGGCGTGATTTCGAATCCCCGGTTGTACGTGACAAGGTGTAGGGTGACCTATCAAACCTCGATGGTCTGTCGTTCAGATTATCCTGTGTAGGATCTATGAAGAACCTATAGACTCGAGCGACAAGAAACGAGTCTATAGTTACCTCACATCAAGGCACAAGCAATTTTAACTAAAATCTATTAAAATTAAATTTTAAGTTACAATCGATCTTCGTGAAACGCATAAATTTAAAATTTCACTTTGATTTTAGTTAAAATCTATGTTAGTGATTTTAGCTTCAGTTTTTATGAAACCCCTGCTCTCCCTGAGGTCATCGCTAGTCCCCCGCTACGACCACAGGAACTGGTAAGAAGAGGTGCGAAAGTGCGATGGCGCACAATTTCAAAGACAAAACAGAGCATGATAGCCTGCGTGAACTTCGTCTGGGGCCTGTTTAACTAAGATAAAATCCAAATTTTAGTATTTGATTGGATAATAGATAATATTAGATTTATTTTAGTGCTTAGCCAATCAAAATTGAAGTATCTACTAAAATGGATTTTATCTTTAGTTAAAATTTCGATAAACAGGGCCCAGGGGAACATAAACATGCCAAATTTCCGTCACTCACATGTTGATGTGAGATACCTACACTCGTTTCTTGTCGTCGTTTGAGTTTATACGTTCTTCATAGATCCCACACATGATAATCAAGATACTACTGCAACAATGGGCCACAAAATGTTTCTGGTCGCTCTAGTCTAATGATAGCTGTATACTGGGTCTGGATACTCAAGACACTATTGCGACGATGGGCCAAGTCGGGAATTTTTTTTTATCTTTTCTTTTTCAGTTTTTTTTTTGTTTTTTTTAATATTATTTCTTTTTTATTTTTTTTAAATATATTTTATTATTTTTTTTATATATATATATAGATTTTTTTTAATTTTGAAAAGATTTTTTTTTTTTTTTTAAATTTTAAAAAGATTTTTTTTTTTTTTTGTTATACCAAAAAAAAAATTGTTTCTTTTTTTTTTTTACTAATATTTTTATTATTTTAAATGAAATACAAAAAATAACCCAAAAAACGCTATTGCGACCATGGGGCGCCATAGTATTCCTTGACCCCAGGAACATTTGTTTAGACACCAAAATTATCATCATAGAATAAATACTATGTGAGTTAAAGGGGGTTATTTGAAATGGCGACTGTTTTGGACGCCATCTTGAATTTGTTTTGGACGCCATCTTGAATTTCTCCAAACGCTCAAGGGTGATCTAGGTTCACTGGCAGATTCTGAAAGAGGACACCCTAAGCTACTAAAATCAATCATAAAAAAAACTTTGTATACAATTTCCAGCTTCAGCCACATTTCTGCCAGACTATTCCAGCCAATATTGATATTGGCAAAAACAATAAACATTATATGACATATATGTTACAAACAACAAAGCTGCTGTGAGAGTACATGCCCTTTTCAACCTATTTTTACAGTATACAGATGGAGTTCTTTACTCTAATGTTGTTCAAATAAAAATGTGTAATTTACTTGTGATATAATTATAACTTTAATTTATTTTAAGGAATCTTTCATTGAATGTTTTTCAGATAATTGGAGTCGGATTGGCAATGCGGTACAGAAACCAAAAAGATCCACGAGCCAACCCCAGTGCATTTTTATAGTGAAGAATGGTTAGATTAGATGTATATATTGTTTCATAATTTTATATAGTATGTGTCCTATTGTTTGTTTATTTGAGTTAAAAGTTACATAGATCTAGTCCTTTACTATTCAGGGAAATATACTTAAGGATTAAGAGAGAATTTTTAAATCAGTTATTTGGGATACTGATAATTTCACAAATATTCAGAAACTTTGTATTATGTTAAAAAGTGTATGCTTTCAGCTTTATTGAATTGATTTCTGTGCAGTGTTATTTGAATAGTTCACAAACAGATTTTAACTATGATAAAGTGGCGTTTATAATAACTTACCATTGACATTAAATAGAAATCAAAGCCACATGAGGAAGACTGATTTTGTAATACATGTACATACTTACAACTATTTGTAAATTTATACTGGTAATTTACAGAGATTCCTTACAATCTTTGGATTAATTGATTCCAGCATTAAATAAACTGCTATCATTCTAAGAAACCATTCTTCATTAAATGTTATTGTATCTAATGTTAAATGACTTCTTGTTATTTAAGGACATTGTAATCCTACCAGGTTTATGCATTTGATTAATGTTTGTCATCGTAAAATTGTCTCTTATTCTAAGTTGTTAGTTCCCATTTTAACGATGTATTAATATTTATTATTGTAAGTACATGTATTTATTTTATTTCATGACATTTCTGTATATGTATGTATACTATGACTGAGGGACCAATATTATGTGTAAAAATGAAGGTTATATGACAGACAGAGGTATATATGTGTATTTGGATGTTGATTACAAGTGACTGGCATTCTGTATTTAAATGTCTATATTTACCAGAGGGACTGTTACATGAATAAAATAACTGAGTTAGTAAAATGAAAGAAAAGTCAGTGAAAGAGAAGTCGTGTATCATTTCTGTAGACCGTAAAATGACACAGTTGCAGTCTAATTAAAATTATTCCAATATTTTATTCTGTTATATATTTCGGTTGATGGCTCGATCCATTCATCGAAATTGAAGGACTTTGTTTTATATTGTGGCCTGGCGGGTTTAATAATGTGCAGATTTAGATCTGTCTACCAAACAAAACCGTCAATGCAGAAAAATGACAAATGTTTTGATTGCTTGTCTGATCATGGTCAAAGGCATTATTATGTTGTTGTCACATGATCAGAACTTTTCTTAACACGTCTTTCAAATTCGATGTTAATGAAATAACATCAGGCCCCGAGTTCAGAAAGCATTCTCAGACTTAAGTTAAGAATTTGCTCAAAATTGTTCGCCTTCTTTTAACTAAAATATTGCCCTTTATTAAACTTTTGTTGTTTTAATGTATCAAATACATCAATAAGAAACTATGTTCAAAGTTTTGTGTTTCTGGATCAAAGATATTTCTCATTAACAGTGATTGAAAGTTAAGTAAATTCTTAAGTTAATTCTGAGAATACTTTGTGAACTCGGGGCCTGGTTTTAATTAAATTGTGAGGATGGAAAATTCAGATTTTAACAATTCTGGCACTTGAGGATTATACAACATCAAAAGCTTTGACTCATCTTTCATTTTTCTGAGTTGTTTTTCAAAACTTACCTTTGAAATATTTAGTGCTTTACCAATGTGCTTGAAAATCCATATATTATAATATTTTCTCAATTGTTAACAGTTTTCATGATTGTATTATGCTTCTGCTTATGTATTTAAATTGCATTTAGTTTTAACAATATTAGATGTTTGTGGTGATGGATAAGCTTGGTGTGTATTCTGAATAATTTAAAATGTGTAAGTTATAATGGTATTATTATTTTGCCATCTTTAATTTCAATTATATATTACCAAAGAGCAGCTTTAAGTTAAAACTATTCTACTATATATATATAGAGAGAGAGAAAAAAATAAAGGTTAAAAATGCCTAAAGAAAGTACTATTGTTTAATTGTCTAGATGTTTCGCCTGAGCTTGTCAATAGTACTTTCTTTAGGCATTTTTAACCTTTATTTTTTTCTATATTAACACTACTACGGTTTTTATATATATATATATATATATATATATATATATATATATTTGAATGAAGAGGGCAACTTTTATGTGTGTATGTTTGTCTTATAATTAAGCATAATTAACAGGTACGGTATATTAATCATCATAATCTTCCAAATCTGTGTGTATAGCTTGCTATAGCCTTGAAAAATTATTAATGTACCTTTATTGAAGAGCCAAATTATAATTATATTACATGTATGTAACTATATTTGTGATAAGAAAGTGTCATTTAGAATAGATAGCTTGCTCAAGATGCACAGTAGATGGAATTGGAAACAGACATTTATTTTTGTCCCCCGCCTTTCGAAGAAAGCAGGGGACTATTAAAATGGGTTCGTCCGTCTGTCTGTCTGTCCGTCTGTCTGTCCGTCTGTCTGTCCGTCACACTTTTTGGGACACAATAACTCTCTTCGTAATTGAGCTAGAATGTTCAAACTTGGTGTATGTGTTTATTAGGTCAATGCCTTGATGGAGTTCGAAGATGAGCATTTTCCGTTTTGGGTAAGCAGAGATAAGCAATTTGATTGGTTGATGCTTTGGGACACGATAACTCTCTTCCTAATTGGGCTAGAATGTTCAAACTTGGTGTATGTGTTGATTAGGTCAATGCCTTGATGGAGTTCGAAGATGAGCATTTTCCGCTTCGGGTAAGCAGAGATAAGCAATTTGATTGGTTGATGCTTTGGGACACGATAACTTTTAATTGAGCTAGAATGTTCAAACTTGGTGTATGTGTTTATTAGGTCAATGCCTTGATGGAGTTCGAAGATGAGCATTTTCCGCTTAGGGTAAGCAGAGATAAGCAATTTGATTGGTTGATACTTTGGGGCACGATAACTCTCTTCCTAATTGAGCTAGAATGTTCAAACTTGGTGTATGTGTTGATTAGGTCAATGCCTTGATGGAGTTCGAAGATGAGCATTTTCCGCTTAGGGTAAGCAGAGATAAGCAATTTGATTGGTTGATGCTTTGGGACACGATAACTTTAGTTCTAATTAAGTGAGATTGATGAAACTTGGTGTATAGTTTCATTACAGTAATACCTTGACTAAGTTTGATAATGAGCATTTTCTGCTCAGGGTGAGCAGAGCGATACGAAATTTGATTGGTCGAGACTTTGGAACTCAATAACTCTCCTTCTAATTGAGGTAGAATGTTCAAACTTGGTGTAGCCGTTCATTAGGTGAATGCCTTGATAGAGTTCGATGATGAACATTGTTTGCTTATGGTAAACAGAGATAAGCAATCTGATTGGTTGATGCTTTGGGACATGATAACTTTAATTCTAATTAAGTGAGAGTGATGACTGCATGCTTTGGGACAAGATAATCGTGATTCTATCAGATAGAGAATGATGAAACTTAGTGTATAGTTTGATTGCTCGATACTTTTGAAAAAAATAAATGTGCGATTAATTAATATGTCATCTATTTATTTTGGGATTTCAGCGGGGGACATCAGCCTCACTGTTGGCTTGTCAAATATGAATTGAAATTCAGGAGATGTAAAATAAAAAATAAATCTGCTTCATTAGAACTAACCTGAATCAAACAAATCTGGTTCTATTAAAAAAGGGGGGTTGGATGGCCGAATGGTTAGCACGTACGCGCTGTATCATAACGTCTGTCAATGAGTCAACTGGCATGGTTTCGATTACCCGGTTGTACGTGACAAGGAGTAAGGTCACCTGTCCAACCTTGTGGGTTTTCTCCCGTTCCTCTGGTTTCCTCCCACTGCTAAAGACCCCTACGCGCAAGCGAATTATTGAAATAAAATTAAACCATAAGTTAGTCCCGATAAATAACCTAGTTTGTGTTGAGTGGACATTAAACCCCATTTCTCTCTCTCTAAGAAAAATATTTTTATACGCCCACATTTTCATGTGGACGTATATTGTCATCGCCCCTGTCGGTCCACAATTTGTTTGTGGACACTCTACAGGTCACAATTCTTATCCGATTTTGACGAAACTTGAAATATCTTTTTATCTCCAAAAGATCTTGGTTGCTTTCGATATTAGCATGTATCGGATCGAAACTTCATGGATTATGGCCCCTATTTGTACGCAAAAATCGTGTTTAGCTTGTGGACCCTATAGAGGTCATAATTTTTATCCGATTTAAAAAAACGTAGTATTATATCACCGTTATATCCTAAGTAGCTTCTTGAATTATGGCCCCTGATTGTAAGAAAAATTGCGTTTTTGGCTTGAGGTCCCTCTAGAGGTCACAATTATTATTCGATTTAAAAAAACGTTTGAATAAATCACCTTTACACCCTAAGGATGGTTGGGTTTGAATTTCGTGAAAATCGAACCAAAACTGACAGACAAAATGGACACCCCTCGTACTCAAATAGCGTAAAAATATGGTATATCAAGGTTGTGGACCCTCTAAGAGGTGACAATTTTCTTCTAATTTTGATAAAACTTGAACTGTAAGTTTATAACCCAAAGATCTTGGTTCCTTTCGATCTTTGCGCATATTGAGTTATGGTAACTTCCTGAATTTTGGCCCCTGATTGTACGAAAAATCGCTTTTTGTTTAGCTTGTTCTCTATCCATCTCTTGCAAAATGTGGGTGTATCCTGCCTGGCAGCCACTGGTTAATTACTCTGTTTATTTGAATTTAAAAGACCAGTTTCAAATTTCACTGAATATCTGTTGATAAAATGCAGTTTAAGTAAGCACAATGCTAAGTATTAAGCCACTCGTAAATGATCGCTATATTTGCTTTATTAAGATGTAACTCGTAATTCTATGAGTTACCATTGGCCGAGAAAGTTCATCCAGATTTTCCGGCGTGGTTCCCCCTTGTCAGTGATGCAGGACGGAGGGCCTGACAAGGACAGCTGTCTAGTCATTCGGATGAGACGAAAAACCGAGGTCCCGAGCAAAACAGTAGGACGTTAAACCCCATTTCATTTCATTTCATTTCTATGAGTTACTTGATAATCAAGACAACCACATTTCTAGCTGTATGGGATACTATCAAAGATTCTTTCACACAGAATGAACTAGTTTATTATCTAAACTATAAGAGAGACTGCTTCTTTAAAGAATGTCACTTGTCACAGTTTTACAGAAAAAAAATTACCAGAAAGGGTAAAATATATAATTTGTCTTGAATAAATGGTCAGAAATGTTTGTGGTAATATTTTTCAAGCAAATGTAGTTGTGTCCTGTTTTAGTCCCAGTATTTATATTTCCTATAAGATATAGATAGGGAAAGTAAAGTTACGCATTTCATTTAATGGATAGATAGTCAATAGAATATGCTATTTGCTACTTCAGTAAATTCATACTTTTTGTTTTGATTTGTTATGGCTATATGATGGTGGTCATGAAATATGATCTTGTTAAAATTGGGTTTAATTTTGATGCTTCACACCCTGACCTACAAGAATAAATGATACTATTTCACTATAATTCACTATACAGCAGCCTCATACAATCTATTGGTGCATTACATTGTGTACAAATTTTTATATGCCCACATTTTCATGTGGACGTATATTGTCGTCGCCCTTGTCCGTCCGTCCACAATTGTTTGTGAACACTCTAAAGGTCACAATTCTTATCCAATTTCAATGAAACTTGAAATATAGGTTTATCACCCCAAGGTCTCGGTTCCTTTCGATATTGGCATGTATCAGACTGTAAATTCATGGATTATGGCCCTTGATTGTACGAAAAATCACGTTTTTAGCTTGTGAACACTGTAGAGGTCACACTTTTTATCCGATTTGGTTTAAACTTGAAATATATGTTTATAACCCAAAGATCTCAGTTCCTTTCGATATTTTTGCATAACGGACCATAACTTCCTGAATTATGGCCCCTGATTGTACGAAAAATCACGTTTTTAGCTTGTGGACCCATATAGAGGTCATAATTTTTATCACGTTTTTAGCTTGTGGACCCATATAGAGGTCATAATTTTTATCCGATTTAAAAAAACGTTTTAGTGTATCACCATTACACACTAAGGACATCTGAGTTCAAATTTCGTGAAAATCGCCCCTTGTTCTCAAATAGCGTAAAAATATGGTATATCAAGGTTGTGGACCCTATAGATGTCACAATTTTTATCAAATTTTGTTGAAACTTGAAATGTAAGTTTTATAACCCAAAGGTCTCGGTTCCTTTCGATATTTCGGCATATCAAATTGTAATTTCTTGAATTATGGCCCCTGATTGTAGGAAAAATCACTTTCTTCTTAGCTTGTTCTCTATCCATCTCTCGAAAATGTGGGCGTATCCTGCCTGGCAGCCGCTGTTTTTTTTATACTTTCAATGGCCTTCACTTCAACAGATATGAGATTATGACCCACTGCCAGACAGGATATGTCAGGGGTTCTTTAGATGAACTGTAAGGCAATATTATTGACTATTTTACCAATCAACCTGTTTCTAATGGAATTTTCAAACTGCTTGAAAGTATCTCTTGTAAAGCTTGACTAAACACAATATATTGGCTAATCCCTTGCATCAGGTCTATTTTAAACCCTTCAAGATACTGTTGAAGTGAGGACAACTAAAACAGAATTTGACATATGAAAAAAAGAAACAAAATAAAATTTGTTTTAATCTGATTGATCCCTTCTTACTCAATATTTTCACTTTTAGGTCTTAGGCTAGTTATATATTTTTTTTGTTATACCATTCCTTTTATGTGAAAATATACCATTCTGCTGTTAACAACTAATATTGTATACCAAGTATTAATTCATCATAAACATAGAATGTGCAATAAATAAGTTAATCTTTATTCATATCTTCTTAATTATGTTATTTTAAAACAGGACTAATATTTCAATATGTAAAATGAGCATAGCTAAAAATTGTAGCTTGGTAATGTCCTTGTTACAAAGTAGAATGATCTTGGTGAACAGGGAAGTAATAATATTTATATGTCCACATTTTCTTGTCGTCGCCAGTCTGTCTGCCTACAGTTTGTTTTGACAAAACTT